GAGGAGAGAAGGATAAACTTAGATAAAAAAATCACGCGGTATGTTACGCGACACAGCAACGATTATTGCATGAAAACGCAACGGTGCTACGCGTGCAACTGCATCGACTGTGATTTGCCTAGCATGTTCCAGTTGGGACTATGGACTCTGTCGCAGGGGACCCGAAATATGGGCTTCTCCGTCTTTCTCTCTCTCTCTTTCTCTCTTTATTTGTCCCTCTCTCTGTCTTTATCGAGGATAAGTCGTCGACTCGAGCGCACGGCGTATCACGTTTGACATTTGATTGCGTTATGCCCGCTCTTCTAATCGATACGCTTCACTTTTGGTAGTCCATGATAGTAGCCGCGACCTTGGCTTTCCCTTCGTGATAAAGTGCACACGTCCTGTACCGACCGTCCTGAAATCAGGTCGTTAATAGAGAATAACGTGCGATATCCTATAACCGCGAGTGCCAGAAACACAAAAAGATTTGTGGTGGTGGTGGTGGTGGTGGTTGGTTTTTTTTTTTTTTACTTTTCTTTTATTTATTTATTACTTTTGGTTTGTTTTCTCAGGATATTCAACAGAAGTGCTGCGACGTGTGGAGGTGGTTATCGGAGGTGCTCATCGTGCGTGCTCATAGATGCGTATAAGGTGCTCGAGTGTGGACAACATTTAAACCAATTGATGGTGTGCCACTCATGTTAAACGCCCGCGATCGTTTCGCGTTTCGCCAATAAAGCTACCATCTCTCCGAGAGACAACCCTCTCCCTCGGCGTTGTTTCCTCATCCGCTTACCTTTCCTTTCTTTCCTCTCATCCTCCTTCTTTCTTTCTTCCTTTCTTTGCTCTTTCACTCGGCCTACCCCTCTCTTTTCCGTCTCTTCTCTGTCTTACGTCCCTATCCTCCCTTCGTCCTCACGAACGTGTTTCTATTCGAACGAACGTTTCTCGGATCTCGTTCGTTTCCACAAAGTGGAAACTAAGCTATTATTGCGCCCCGCTCGCGATCATGGATAATAATCGTCCGATGCGTCCGCTAGTAAATAACCGCGCCTATCTAAGTTTCGCCCTAAGAGCCCACGATCGTGCGCGCAAACGTCAACGAGATAAGCCGCATACGTGACTTTGTTCAAGTAATTTTCGCGAGACGTGCCACTGCGAAATGGATGGTATTTGGGTCTGTCGCAAATCCACAGGAGATTGCCTCTGGGATTCTTTCGACCTTTATATTTTCGCAAATTCTACAATTTTGTACTCGTATACGCTATGTCTCACGTACTAAAACCCGACTGATATACTTGACCCGCGAGATTCGCGCGAGTAAATTTCAAATCCGCCAACGGTCTCCGGAATGTCGGATACCCACTCGGATCACTAATCACCCAAGTATTTGCTCGAAATTCCGCTATCAAAGCCGAGCGACTATTAAACGTGCGCCCTAACGATTCTGAATTTCATTCAATAAATGCGATGAGCCTTGAGAATCTCATACTGATTGTCATTGAATATAACGACATACATATCTAGAATATGAAAATCTTTCGCAAAAAAGGAACGCAATCTTTTTCTTAAATTATTCTTATATACTTTAAACGTGATTTCATCGTCGTTGTGTAAACTCGCGTCGCGAATTATAATCGAGATGACGTAACCGCGGCGTTGCATTACTGATGCAAACAAAGAAAATTGAAATAACGTTACGGTACCCGATTCAAATCGCGAGAGTGCTTTCGAACAATCCTAAAACCTGCGCTACCATCCGGAAATAAGTCCGTCGCGTATGACAGGCGAATATCTGCCGTGATGTAACTCGCGCGAATCGGACCGATACGCCGGACCCGATCATTCTCGAGTACCGGGCCCGAGTGACGGATTCGATGATCTAGCCGTACGACGATGACGGGGTGACATAATGTGGATAGCAGTGTGGTATGTAGGTCGGTCATATCAACAGGTGCCCCGAAAAACGTTCAAAAAGCAAAGGCTTGCCGTGACAGAGAGCGGTGCGCGTTTGTCAGTGCGAGACGCGGGAGT